TGCCCGTGCTGAGAAAAGACCCCATCAATTGCCAAGGCCGAGCCCGCCCCCATTTTGGGCCATTTGAAACGGGCCCCCGACGCCACCAAACCAAACCTTCCACCCACACCCGCGGGGGGTGCCGCCAAAACCTCCCCGAAGGTGTACAAGAAAAAACTTCCCCGAATCGGTGCCAGGAGGCCGATCAAGAACCAGGCCCAGGGAGGATGTTCCCCAGGAAGGTCGCCCCCACTGTCCCCAGCGAGGTCAAAGGAGTCCATCATCGAGGCCGGCAAGGCCCCCCGAGGGCTGCCGCCCAGCACCCTCTGCCGTTCAGGGACAAGGGCTGCCGTCGAAGTCCGAGCTGCTGCAGGAGGTCAAGGCCGTTCCCCCCCATCGGCGAGGACAAGTCGAAGACGGAGGAGGTCAAGACTGATCCTGCCGTCGGTGCCGCCCCTGTTCTGGTCACCGAGGAGGTCAAGCAAGACGCTGCTGCTGCCGTTGCCGCACCTGCCGCCATCACCCCATCTGCTCCCAAGGTTGAGATGTCCCCGCCGCCAGCAACCCCGCTCTGCACACCGCCGCGCCCCCCGTTGTGACCGACGGTCCGTCTACCACGTCGGCCGCCGTCAAGTCCGAACCTGAGTCTGTTGCGCCCGCTACCGAGGCCAAGACTGAGACGGCCGCTGTGGAGGACAAGGCCGAGGAGACCAAGCCTGTCCCGACGAAGGAGGGCGAGATTTCTTCCCAACGGCGCCAATGCCGCTGCGCCGGCCGAGCCCGTGAAGCAGACGACACAGGAGTCTCCCGCCACGCCCGCCAAGGCTGAGGCATCTGGCTCGACTACGACGCCCAGCACCAGCAGCCAGAAGGGCACTGAGCAGAAGAAGAAGAACCGCCTCAGCGCCTTCATCGGCAAGCTCAAGAGCAAGGTGCACTCGAAGGATTAGATTGGTTGTGAAGTTTTGTCTCCGGAGTGAGGAAAGGCCACGCCTCATCTACGTCTTGGCTTGTGCGAACACAAAAACACAACACAACACATTCACACACACACACACACACTCGCGCATAATTATGCTACGGCTTGGTCATTCGTCGTCTCGTTTTTATGATTCCCCCCTGTTTTCTTGATTTTCCGCTTTCCACCGCAAAGAGTTCGAGAGGAGAGGTAGAAGGAGAGAAGTGGGCGAGGCAGGTAAAAGGCCCAAGGGGCAAAGGGAGGTCACTGTGCGGCTGCGGCTGTACAGGAATTGGAAGAATGGACGGATGAATGGTCATGAGGTTTTCCGACTGCAATGTGGGATGCAACATGAGAGGCGGCTCGTCTTTTTTTTTTCTCATATACTTAATCGAGGTTGTTTTCGCGACTGTTATTAGGTGGTGTCTCTGTCTATCTGACGTGCGATACAGGCCGGTGGAGGTCGACAATGTTCTCTCGGTCGCGACTAATCGTCTCGCATTTCCTCCGTCTCAAGTTTGAGTGCCAACCAACCTGATGACGACGAATCGGATCAATCAGACACAAACTTTTTCATCCGATAACCCAAGACGAGCAGCTGGCGAGCTGAGAAAGTGAGTGACAATTTTTACCAAGCTTTTCCTTGGTCTCTCGCTCGCTCATCATGTTGATCAATGACAGGAAGGGAGAGATGGGCGCATGGCATGACTGACACACACATCAGACGGCCGTCGTCTCTCAGTTCTCGTGCGGACGAGTGTCATCATGCCCGACATCCGGTCTCAAGCGTGGACCCGCGGTCGTCTGGGAAACCCGGGAGCTCTGGAATTCTACACTGTCGCCCACAAGTAAATAAGAAACACGCACCGAGAGAGGGGGGGGTGGGGTGCTTGGGTGTATGTGTGTGCGTGTGAGACTGCCCACACCGACACCGGAACGGATGGAAAAAAGAATAGTCGGGTGCTGGTGCACGCAGGACTGTCTCGGGGAGAATAGAAATTGGTCTGTCCTCGCCGCACTTTCGGGCACCACCCCCCCCCCCCCAACAAAGCTTGGGATCATGAAACGGCACGCTAGTCAGGGTCGATTGCCGCGTGCATAGTCTCTGGCTTGCTTGCCCTTTTCCATCTTTGGGAGACGAAGAGACCTCAAGAGAAAAAACAGAAGGCTGGCTGGCTGGCAATGAATCTGCGGCGGGGGCGATCGTGTGAGTCGGCCGTGTGGGGGTGCTAGCCAGATGCTGGTTGTTGGAGGTTGATGAGCTTGTGTGGAGGGGAAGGCGTTGCATTGAGACGTTTTGTCGTGTGGTGAGCTATGCTCCAAGGACGGGATCTCGGACGACACCGTGCCACCCCTGCGCTCGTTGCCTGCGTTACCTCTCAATTCACAAAGGCTTCTCAGCTTCCAGATGCCATGAAAATGGAGTGGAGATCTACGAACCGGGGGTCAACGCTGGTCGCGAGATCGAGGTTGATTGCGGCTGTGGGCGATACAATGGCCTCTGCGGCTGGCGGGGAGGGGGCAAGAAGGGGTTGCCATCTGGATCTGGATCGACGCATGGCCGTGTTGCTGCTTAATGGGATCTGCCCTTCGGGTAGATGATGGGGGGGGGGGGCTGTGCGGGGCGTCGTCTGTCCAGGCATCGTCAGCCTAGGCATCGTCTCTCGTCTATCTGGCATCGCACATGGCGCATCGTCTCTCGTCGGCGTGGGCTGTGGGCCTCCCTGGCCACGGTTTGGTGGGCCATGTTCATGGGCCTGGCCCTTTTCTTTCACGCTCGCAGCATGGCACTCGGGACCGCAGGAAGGCCTTCCGCCTCTGAGCGAAGGTAGCCATGTTCCACGGCATCCTGGCGGCGGTCGTCTATCTCGAACGGGGGCCATCAACGGCGCGCAGCCGCATGGGCAGAGCACCATTGTCGTCTTCACCTTTGCCGTGTCCGGCTCGCTGAGCCTTGGGTCGAAGATTGCTCTGGTATAAGAAGCAGGGCACCTCGAGTCTTCCAGATGTTGAGCCTTGTTCTTCACAGCAACACCTCTCTCCTTTCTCTATCTTCTCGAGATCTTCAGCTTCCTTTCTTTCTTTTCTTTCCTCTCACTCTTCCTCGAGATTGCACCTTGAGTTTTCCGTTCCCATAATTACAACTAAAACCTG